CATAGAAAAAAGTTCTTGTACGAATGGGCGAACGAGACAAGTTGTATAAAGTGCTCAGAGTAGAAGAGTGTTATATTTAAGAATCGCCCCATTTACCGTAATTGCTACTGGTGCCAGTCAAAATGTCCTAACGTTTCCTTTCTTGTTTGTGTTAGAAATAAGTTCTTTATTCAGTTTCTTTATAACATTAATTGCAGTGTATGCTCATAATAGAGTTCATCCACTCCTTGTTTGAAGGGTACAAGCAGAAGCCCCACGGTGTGAAGGGCTAAGAGGCAGGAGAGTTGCTACACACTTGTACAACAGAGTTTCAGATAGGAGGCTCCCTTGGCCTTGTGTGGGGGTATAACACGATGTTCTAGTCAACAAGAAATACAAACTTTATTGTGTTGGTTAAAGCTGACATCAGCATAAAAATAAAACATCCCTGGTAACAACTGTAAGGTAGGGGGAGTTTTCTCACACAGGACAAGATCCCTGACTGGAGGTCAAAGACTGTTACCATGCAGAAGGACCCTGAGGAGAAAACATCAGGGAGTGCTTTGTTTAAACCACGGCATCTCCCCATCAATAGCTAATCACAAATATTTCTAGTTTCTATGTGTCTAATATATACTTTGAATTATGAACTGTACTTCACTTCTCTGTGTGCAGACTGACATAGAGACATCTACAGCTGTGCAACCCGAATCTTTAACTGCCTGATTTAAAGAAAATGGTGTAAAATGCCAGATTGTCGCCTGAACTTCTCTCAATGAAGAAGAATGCCACAGTTGCTCAGTGTAGGTCTGTATTGATAACAGCACCAATTATTATAAACCCATCTAAGCTGGATTTCAGGAAGTGAATGACTGCACAGTCAGATAGTCTTACCCTATTCCCACAATCCAAGACATTCTGGATAACCTAGCTGCCGCTGCTGTATTTTCTTTGCTAGACCTGAATACCTGGCTATTGGCAGGTGGAAATGTATCTCGTAGTACAAGATGTTACTGCATTCAGTTTATGCTTATGCCATAAACTGTTAACATTGTAATGTTACCAGAGGCAAATGGAAAGCGCTCTGGGGGATCTGAAAGGTGTTATCTGCGTTGTGTATCTGGATGATATCATCACCTTCTCCAGGTGCTGGGAACAACAATTCCAGGACATCCAAGCTGTTCTGGACAAACCCGGAGAGGCTAGCCTAACTGTAATTATGAAAGAATCTCTCAAATTTCTAGATCATGTGACAACTCCAGTGCAAGTGAGAGTTAAAATGTCCCAGTGACTACAGAATTTAATCTACTGGCCAAAACTAACCCTCCCCTGCTGCAGAGGCACAGATCACACCCTGCCACTGTTTTTAATTAAATTAACGACACAGATAAGCCACACAAAACACCACTGCATAGAGAGCCAACACCCGGTTGGAGCTTTTTAGTTCTCTGAGAACAGTTACAACCTGCACTTCATATGGAATCATGCTAGCATTAGCAAGAAAACGAGCTTCAGTTCTTTAGCACTGTAACCGATGAGTCTCCTCTTGCTTACCACCCTTGGTTAGTATGTGTGATGTAGAGAAGATGTGGTTTGAAAAAGTAATGTACACTCCATTACATTACATTGTACGTGTAATTCCATAAAAAATACACACGGTAATTTTTTGGTAGCTATAAGCTCTATGGATATAACTTCTGAAAGTTTCTTTCTCTAGCATTTTTAAAGTGCTAGTAAGTCTTGTTGCTGTCTTTAGCTATATGCTGCCTATGTGGAGTCTATACACCTGGATGCCACTTTTTTTGGCAAGGCTCTTTGCTACCTCTACAAGCTACATGATCCCATGCTTCAGCATGTTTATGATATTAACAACAGGTGCACCAGGAATCAGGAATGGTTTCATAGGTGGACCTCACCGACATCTTTTTTTTTTTTTTACCTCTTCATCTTTTCTGATTTCTTTTAATTTATTATATCTGCATATGTATATATTATTTTAATTTTTCCTTGTTGATATCTGATGTCTTTTCAAGGGGTTATTTGAAATTTTTGAGCAGTGTATAAAACAACGTGGGTTTGTCATCATTTGTGGCTGCATTCGGTCAAAATTGATGGAATTATGAATCCAAAATGGGAGATTTTGATCTACCAATCACTGATCTCAAGCCCACCACTAATGCAGTAAAACGCATCACACAGAGGCACAGTATTACTAATGGACTGGACTTCCACAGCTCTGACATCTTCATTATTAAAGCAGTGTGGGATCATCTTGACAATACACAGAACAAAAGGTGGTCAGCCTCCAAAGGTCAGATTTTCAATAACCTTCAAGAAGTTTGGAGAATTATTCCTGAATACTACTTAAAGAAAGCACAACAAAGTAGCCAATAGTCAATTCACTCTGTACATGACGGAGGTGGCAAAAAAAATGGTAAACGGCCTGTATTTGTATAGCGCTTTACTTAGTCCCTATGGACCCCAAAGCACTTTACACCACATTCAGTCATCCACCCATTCACACACTGGTGGCAGCCACAGCTGCCCTGGGGCGCACTGACAGAGGCAAGGCTGCCAGACACTGGTGCCATCAGGCCCTCTGACCACCACCAGTAAGCAACAGGTAAAGTGTCTTGCCCAAGGACACAACGACCGAGACTGTCGGAGCCGGTGCTCGAACCGGCAACCTTCCAATTGACAAGACGAACTGCCAACTCTTGATCCACGATCGCCCCAGACTGTCTTTAAGTAGAAGTACTGATAGCTGTTTTAAAAAAAAATACTCCAGTAAAAAGTTGAAATACTGAAGCAACTTCTTTGCTCAAAAAAAGTGAAAAGCACAGGCTCTGAAATGTACTCACAGTAAGAAAGTAAAAAGTAGCTTCTTGAAGGACAATTCTACTAAACATCTCTGTAAAAATTTAACTTTATGCTATGTTAATATAAGAATAAAACAATATTAGATAGAACATGATACTACAAATGTTATTCAAATCTAAATTCTAACTCTAAGGACTGTATTCAGCTTGGATCTGTAATGTAGCACACAAGCAGTGTAAGGGAATTTTAAAAAATAACAATTTTCTGTTGTCTACATTGTATAGGGTGACCTTAAAAGTAAAATGAGTACAGTCAAGGGCTACAGTGGAGTTCAGCAGGTAGGGGAACCCTAAGATCTGTGTAGTAGTTCAAAAGAAGGAAAAGAATCACAACTCCAATAATTTCTTATAAGAGCTTCAGCAGATTTTCTTAGTGTACAGGCTGTGATCAGGTTACCCCCTCCCCTTTTTTCTGCTACACTTGATGTAACCTAAATCTGACCATGAGGACCACAGCCACTGAGCACCAGTCAAACAAACAGCATTACCGTGAATTCACCACAGGACTGCATATATTTTTGAATAACACAAAGCTGGTATAGCTTAGTTTGATTTGCAAAATTGTTTACAGCATAAAAATACATAATTTATCAAAACACACCATATACAGATCCAGTACATGGTTAAATTGATGGCTTTACATGCAAGCTTAACATATGCAGTTTATCAAGCATCACTGAGCAGTCCTTACCATTAAATCTAACCTTTCTTCTTTCACTCCTGTCCTCTCTGTCTGCAATCATTCTGGTGCTGTGCAAGAAAAAAGAAAACACAACACAAACACCCTCTTTAACCCCTGACTATAGCACATGATTGTGCGTCTTTGATCTCTTTTTATGCGACGTCCCCTGGTGATTAATACATGAACAGGATTGACTTTCACATGTTACTGTTCAGGCTTAAATCAGTTTGATTTTTGAAGGCCCGCAGTGACGTGAAATAATCACTTCTCCCATATCCCTTAAACCAAAAATAATGAGCCTCTTTTAAATGTAAGCAGTAGAAAGTACAGCTATTTGTTTAGAAATGTAGAGAGAAAAGTAAAAGTAAAAGCTGTCAGAAAAACTCTAGTAAAGTAAAGATACCTGAAAATTCTATTTAAGTACGGTAACAAATACTTTGTTACTTTTACAGAATGTCTGTACTCTGGCCAGCACTGTGGAGAACATCCTGTATTGTGCCGGTACAAAAAGTCTCCAGCTGAACTGAACGACTGCAGACCAGTAGTCAAGAAAACCTTAAAGCAGCTGATTATGACACCAACTGAAACTCGAGGTAAAAACCAGACTTCCCCTGCAATCTGCATACAAACAACACATTGAAGTGAATGATGCTGTCCTCTACATGCTTCATCATGTCCTAGCTCATCTGGAGGAATCTGGCACTTTTATGAGAGTTCATTTTTCAAACGCTTTCAATACTATTCAACCAAATATACTCAAAGACGAGCTCACAGAGATGGGAACAGATTCTTCCTTTGTTTTCTAAGTCACAGACTACCTGACAGAAAGGCCACAGTTTGTGAGACTGGGGGACTTTGTTTCTGGAATGTTAATAAGCAGTATGGGAGCGCCACAGGGGACCGTTCCAGGTCTATTTCTTTTTCACATTTTATACAGCACACTCCTGCCACATCCAGAAATACTCAGATGATGCTGCCATTAGTGGCATGCATCAGGAATAGACAGAATCTAAATACAGGGCTCTTGTAAAAGCTTCCAGTGACTGGAGTCACAAAAACTGCTATTATATTGAACACCTCTAAGACGAAGGAAATGATAGGAAAGTTCTGAGCAGTAACAAGTATAAATATCTACGTTTACACCTAGATAACAAACTAGACAGTTGATGCCATCCTGAACAACTCCAATAACCCAATTTATAACATCTTCATAGACGAAAAAAACCCCAAATCAATACTGGAAGTCGCCCGTCTTTTTGTTGTCAAACGGAGAAATACAGAAAATGATTCGCCCCCACAGCCATCAGGCTTTTCAATTCTCATACAGTTAGCAGATATATGATTTTTCCCTCTGAGATCAATAGTTATTCTTATTATTTCTTATTCTTATGGCCTGGATGATTGAGAACCGACACAGACACGTCACGCTCATTGGTTTTCATGGAAATGTGGAGGAGCACACCCCCCGGAAACAGTGCAGTGCCAGCAGAAAATGAATCGGAAGTATTACTTTTCTTTTTTCGTGAGTTTATTTTTCAAATCATTCTGCACTTAGTAGTGTTGAATGCCCCAGCCGTGCGAGATCACAGTGTCGACAGTTTGTGGAATGGATAGGCTTATCAGCTTGATTTGATGAAACAGGGTGCCGACTGTGTGGAAAACGTTGCACCGGCTGAGAGCAGACTGATGGAGAAGGCAGAGCGGTCCTGCCCCCCTCAATGACCATCTTCATCTGCTAGCGATAAAAGTTCTCGCTGGCGACACTCTAACTATGGGCCAGTACCATGAAATCCCTTAACTACTGCTGCCACTAAGTCGGTCGTGGAACTCTTTCACAATGCCCGGCTGCTGGTACAGCTGGAAGCTCACAGTAGCCTGATAGTAACGTTACAGGCCTGCTTTTACCATCTCGAAATTTCTTGGCAGGTGAGAGCAGGCCAGCTAGCACTGCTAGCGTTAGCCTTTTCCGCACTGCACCTGTAGTTTTTGATAGTGCAGTTTTTTCCTCTGGCCACACCTGTGCTTTGACATCTACCAACTGGAGGAACATTTAACTTCAAAAAGTATTTTTATGGGATTCTTATCGGCGAAGAGAGAAGCGGGCATAAGCTAAAATGGTGAACTGGAGGCGGCTGCTGCGAATGTCCAACCGATCATTTTTGGCCTTCATATTCATCTTCTCCATGTCCACCACTTGTCTCTACTTCATTTACGTGGCTCCCGGAATAGGTTAGTAATCAGCAGTTTACGCTAACTACCTAAGACGGTAACAGTTAATTTAATTACGTTTGAAATACCCTCTGCACCTTAACTATCTGCTGCTGTTGTAGTTGATACTAACGGTAAACAAGGTCGCTAACAGGCTCACTGTTTCAAGTGTGATACCAGGCTCTTAGGTTTATTTGGACTTAGTAATTTTGCTATGTTAATCAGTCAAATGTGTCTATTGACTATTGAATTAAAACATTGAAATAATAAAATACGCACAAGAGGGTAATGTTTTGACACTAATTGTCACTACATTGCTGGTTTATGAATGGGATGGAATGATTATTATTTTATTTGTATTATTTTATCTATTTATTTTGCACATAGTGTTATTTTGGTGAAATTGAAAAAAGTATTGTTAGGTATGGGCGCTGAATTCTGGAACTGTGTTGTAATGTTTGTTAAACTGATTATATTTTATCCCAGCATTTGAGCAATATTGCTTAAGACTTTCTAAAACTGCCTTACCTGAAAAAACTTATTGCAATATTCTGTTTAGATCTACTTTTGAATGAAGGCAGATTCCAGACTTAATCAACTTAGTAGCATATTTCCAGTCCTTTTATGTATCTGACTGGTTGTATATAGTAGCAGCACCACCCCTTTCATGCTAACATGCTCACACCTAGATTGGGAAACCCTTACTTAACTTACTAAGCTGGCAACCCCCTTTGCTGACAAGTTGATAACTACTTCTGTTGGCATAGCTGAAGCCAGTTAAGGAAAAGAGATCCTGGATATTTTGAACTTGCTCTGTAGTAGGGCTACATCTATTGACTATTTTAGTAATATAGTATTCTATCAATTATGCAATTGATTGAGTAATCTGATAAGAATTACTTTTGTGTTATTTGTGAGCAATAATAAATATTCAAAGAGAAAAAACACGGGTAATGTAAAATCGGCTGCTCATATGTTTGAATTTTAGAAATTGCAGTGCATACATTAGTGTATGCACTGTGGTTTTTATTGAGGGGAACAAATTCTATTTTTCCCTCACTTTAATTGTTTTTAACTCCAGCTTGCTTTAAATACAACTGTGTTGACTAGAGAATGGGCTAAATTATTGAAGACCCAAAGTATCAATAACCAACATTACATTGAAAGCACTGCTTTTGTTAGTGGAGAAATTAAGAAAACAGATATATTATCTCTACATAAAAGTTGTCAGCATAAAAGAGCCTGCATGTGAGGGGCGGGTGTGGCACAGCTCTGTCTCACACACACCCGCAGACCCTGGTCTTTGTGAGGATGGTGGAGAGAATTAAATGTTCAAAAGTTTGGTTGTGCTTAGCTGGAGTCAGTGCTGACAGTGCTTATTGCCTCAAATGCAACAGGTCATTTGTTTGTAAAGGCAGAAACACAAGTATTCTGTGGAAACGTTTAGTGAATGTCCATCATATTCAGTCTGAGTTTTTGACTGCCTACCTTGTAGTCCATCTGGCATTGCTCCAGGTAAGTTATGTCAGCTACCTAGAGCACATGTGCACAATTAACTATATTACTGGTTATTTTATCTAAAATATAAATGTGGTTTATGGTTTAAAAGTAACTACTAGTAGGTTGATTCTTATGAATACGTACATTCAGTATGAGATGGTCAAAATGTCACCTGAACTGAAGTTCAATACCCAATGCCAGTTTCAGATCACTCAGTGATTTGGAGGCTGCAAAGTATGACAACATTAAGCCAATGCATCCCTCTGTTGTGTTTTTGTTTGTTTTTGACAACACAATGATTGTGTCTACACACATACACATCATGAAGAGTAAAGAGGTGAAGCAGGTATTGAGACGTTGAGCTCAGGTGGAGTGAACTAAAACAGTTTTTTTAGGGTCCAAAACAGTGGTACTGTAATCACCATTAAAGTTTAGTGGTAGTGGTAGGCCTTTATCAAATGTAAAATTTAAAAAAAGCTAACTTTGTAGCTGGTCCTGTCCACCACGTTTAGTTTTACACAGGGAAGATCTACAGTAAAGCTACAAAAGTTGGATTAAAATATGCAGATCAACTGATACTGATTCATCTGATGCCATGTTTAAATTAGCTGAAGGCCAACGACAGCCGCAGTGACACCTGCTGACAGACATGTCATGAACACACACCAGTTTTATCCAGGATATAAAATATTGTTTATGTTAAAAGATCTGTTTTTTCTCTTTTGAATATTTGTTCATGCTCATCAATAAGACAAAGGTCTTTCATGTCTGATTATATCAGACTCAAATCTTCATGCTTGAAGCATGAACAGGTTCTCAATGCATCTAACCTGGTGGCACACGACATTGCAAAGTTAAAGAAGCCTCATTTGTGCGCCAGTATCACAAGTGATGGTGCTGCCTCCACAACAGAAAAAATCTTGGGGTCATAAGGAGAATCCTTGAGGAAGGTCCAAATGCAACTCGGAACCATTGTTTTCTGCATCAGCAGGCCCTGGCAACAAAGGATATGGTTCCCGAGCTTCCAGAGACATTAAATGATGTCATCCAAGTGGACTACATTAAATGGAGCTTAAGATGTTTTTAAAACTGTGCCAAGATGTTGGCAGTGAGCATGTGCAGCTCTTGTATCATGCAGAGGTATGCTGGCTTTGGTGGGGAAAGGTGCTGTCCCGTTTTTATGAACTACGATCGGAAATAGCGGTCTTTTTGGTGTAGAACAGTTCGCCTCTTGCAGATCTGTTTGGTAATACTGTGCAGTTCAAACTGCACAACATTGTCATTCAAAAAATTTGATGTTGGAAAATTTGGGGTCATAGTTTGTCATATGAAGGTGATGGTGGGTCCAAAAGCCAGGTACAGAACCACTGATCTATAGAATACAAACTTTATTAATCGATAGCTACTACCCTAAAATGTTTACTTTTAGTGTTACATGTTTAATTCTGACTCTGCTGATATCTTACAATAGAATAGAACTTGTTGTTGTTGTTGTTGAACAAGGAGGCACTCCTTGTCTATTGCATAAAAATAACATTAAAAAAAATTGATGATTTTGGGTTATTATTCATGCAAATCAGAAATCCAATATCTCAGAATATTATTGTTGTTGTTGTTGTTGTTGTTGTTCTTAGAATATTTTATTTCAAATTTGAATACATTTCTAGGTTTTATAAATTCTGTGTATTACTCTAATAATTGCTCAATAGAAAAAAGCGAAATCATAGGTGAGACTTTTGACGCTAACTTCCGATTGAGTGAAAGGTGATCTTCTCACTCATTTCTCTGCATTCAAACTAGGGCTGAACGATATATCGCATTTGCGATAATATCGCGACATGATCAA